CATGAAATTTTTCATGCAGCTGGTCGGTATGTGGCCATATCAGGAAAGATTCGCTTAAAATTTTTTTCCCCCTTTTTTTTTTTTTTTTTTTTTTTTTTTTTTTAATAAAACATCAAAATATAAAAAAATTTCATTAATTTTAAATTCGAACGACTATTGAATTACTAATTCGTCCCTTCATAATTTTTTATCAATTCTTTTTTATAAGTCTTATGATATTTTGCAATATAAATGTAAGAATATAAAAATTATCTCTGTTGGGTTTGCGCAAATGTTAAAATGAAAAGTCGAGTTTCAATTAACTCGCGTGTCAAGCGAAATTTAAATTTTTAATCGCAAAGATTTTCCTGGATTTTGTTATTACAGCACGTTGTACGAGAAGTCTACTGTATTTGAAAACGCGTCTGAAAAACGTGTAACGTTTCTTGGGCGCAAAAATACTAACCGAGAACGGCGAGCGTGATATCTCCTTCGAGGATAGTCGTGTCGTTCCTCACCCGGCAGGAATATCGTCCCGCGTCCGAGGCTCTCACCTTCTGTGCGTAAATCGTCTGGTTGGCGCTCTCCGGGTACAGAATGAAGTGGCTCTCGCCACCTGGCCAAGGATAAGCCCTGTTGTCCTTGTACCTGCAACAGTCCAGCGCCGCTACGTTATTACTTCCCGAGAAAAATTCGAACGCGCCACGCCAACACCGTGTAATCGCTTCGTACGTTCTCCCTCTTAACATCATCTCCCTCCACCCTTCGACATCTTTTCCTTCAGCGTGAAGTACGATCTGGACGCGCCTCACCCCCACTCGAGTTTTCCCCACTCCGCCCTCACTCAAGTTTCCCCTACTCCGCCAACACTTGGGTTTCCCCCACTCCGCCCGCTCATTTCGCCAAAAGTTCGCGCTCCATCGACACCAAAAAATCTCCCCGATATTTCGTACAAGATCTGGGTGTTTTGAAAAATTTTCCAATAACAGTGTTTCTAAATAACAAAAAACAATCTATGAAATAACGAAATTATATTATCGAGTATTATTTTCGACTGATAAATTTTTTCATTGGTTGTTTTTCTCTTCATTTGACTATTTCAGTTTCATCGATATTTATTTCAAAAACAAGTTTTCAATTGTCAAATAAATATTATTTCTTCAAACAATCAGCATTCTTCAATTTATTATATACTTGCACGACTTCAAATTCTTTTATTGACCAAACGAGTTACCAGTAATTGAAATCCATGATCCGTCAAATATTACAGAACATTATTTCAAAAATTTATTTACAAGTTATCACTCGAGATCAATTTTGCCCCGGGGACTGGTTTCGAGCATGTCCGATTCCGCTCGAACAACTCTCGATAATGCCTACCACTCGGATCGAGCCGCCCGATATACATTCGCCAAGAGCTTTCCACCTCTCACTTTCTCACTCTCTCTCTCTCATCGAGGAACCCAAGACCCGCCCGATTCGACTCGATGCCGTGCGTTTCGGTTGGAAAATATTTGACAAAGCCCCGACGCGACTGCGGTCGCGACGAGCGCTTCTTCCTCGCGAAATTGTTTCGACAACGTTGCGGTGGAGCTCTGGCGCGTTTCAAACGGGCAGACAAACGGACAGAAACGGAGCGGAACAGAGGGAAAGAGACGATAAACGAGCCAATTCTCGCTGAGTTTAATCGAGTTTCGCGCGCCGAGATCCATCGAGAGGGTCTGGTGCATTCTATTTATCCCAGAGCGTTTCCTTTTCTTTTTTTTTTTCCCTCCAATTTTTTTACGCTTCTTTTTTCCAATTATCGGTTCCGATCAGGCTCCGCGGCTCTCCCCCCCCCCCCCCGGAAGTCGTTTTTTCTCCTCCTCCGACGTTACGACAGTCGAGACGATATATATTCAACTCACTCGCTCCAACGAGAAACGTTTCGACGATGTTTGTGTTTGTTTGAAGGGGAAGTCGATGGCTTCGATTTCCCCATCGGCTCGACTCGCCCCTCGCTTGTTAAAAATAGTAACACAGTAACTGAAAACTAAAAAAAATGAAACTTAACACCGTAAAGGCAAAATACATTTGTATTTCTCTTTTTCTTTCTCATTACTATCTACGTTTGTGTATAAGGATCATTGAATTTGTAATTGACACTGCAATTGTTTATGTATTCACGAAGTGAAGCGCACGACGACGAAAGAAAATTTCTACCACGACATTACCTTTATCATCCAACATGGACTGAACTTTTCACAACTTCGTCGCGAAAGTTTCCTTTCTCTTTTTCTTTCTTTCAATCGCTTTCTTTGTAAACGTAGCGAGATTGCAGATTCTCCTGCACAAATTTTCATCCTCGTATATTATTCAATCAATAGCTCGAATTATCTTATAGCTAGATCGTCTGTTTTCTTTGAAGACATCGCTCAGACAAGAGACAAGTGTATAAGAATAATTGTAAGCTCGGTGTATATTCAAAGGAGTTGAACGGTTCGTCCAAATCGTTCGAGAACTCGAATTGCCTCCTGCCGATCATCATTCTTTGTCGCAAGGCTGCAGCAGCCTTGTCTCTTCTAGGAACCTTCTAGGTCCTCGGCGTGTGTTTATGCTTCTACCACCGCGTGGAGGTCGTCTATATCCGTTTTAGCCCTTTTTTCAAATTGCGCTTTATTGTATTAAAATTATTATAATTAAATATTATAAAATTGTGTTATTTTACAAAAAAAATTATATTTAATTACAATTGATAACGATCTTTTCTTTCTTCCAAAGTACGTACTCTAAAATGTGTTAAAACTACGACTTTATTTTAGCAAAAGTTTTACATCAACATTTTATACTTTAATAGCAAAAATTTTAAACTTTATATTTATAAAGTGTAAAATTTTTTATAAATTTTTGCTATATAGAATTGCATGATTTCATAAAAAAAGACTATGTATAACTGACAACAATCTTTCATCACCCAATCTTTTTTTTCACCCAAAGTATTCCAAAACGTGTTGAAACTACCGGTAAATATATTTCTCGCTTTACCTACATACTTTAACAGCAAAAATTTTCTACTTTAATGGCAAAAATTCTACGTAAATATATTTCTCGCTTTACCTACATACTTTAACAGCAAACACAAATTCTTTTCACTACATGACGAGTGACAAAAAATTGTCTTTTCACGATGAGTGTACTCGATGTGAACTTCAAAAAAGGATCGAAAAGTCAACTCGCCCGGGACCTAATGACGGACAAATTTTTGCGAGATATTTGGATTTATCGTTAAATCATTATCAAATCGATTCTCAAGAACGTCAAATATCATGGACCGAGGTTTATCGTTCCAATATTTTCTCTGGACGAAGAAGCTTCTCTCTCTTCGACTGTCGCGCGCGATAGAAGCGAAACGAAACCACCAATGGAAATTGACCGTGGGGAGACTCGTTTCACGTTTCGACGATCGGCCGTTTTATCGCGAGGCGAGGGTTCGAACTCGCGGTTGTTTGTCACGGTCGAAATACGGCGGCGGTCGTTTTTCATGGTAGCCCGCGAAAGCGATTCTCCTCTTTGCTGGCAGCAAATTGCAGAGAGCCGGTGGTGGAAGGACAGGATACGACGATTACGTTACGTAGGGAGTCGAATCGATTTCCAGCCGAGTAATCTTCCACTTTTCTGTTCGCGGAACGCGATTAAGGGAAAAAGTGAGCCGCTTCCACGCGGCGCGGCGCGGACTGTAACGCACAGAGGACGATTCGTGGTCCGTCGCGTCACGTCGTGTCGTGTCGTGTCGTGTCGCGTCGCGTCGCGTCGCGTCGCGTCATGTCGCGTCGTGTCGCGTCGTGTCGCGTCGTGTCGCGTCGTGTCGTGTCGCGTCGTGTCACGTCGTGTCGTGTTATGTCGCGTCGTGTCGTGTTATGTCGCATCGTGTCGCGTCACCCGCTCTCTTCGCTTCTCGGAAAGTTCAACGCCACGGCACGCTACACGCTGCGCTTTTGATCGATCCCTCCCGACTTCTCTCTCGTCGCTCGACCCTACCTTCTCTGGATCGTCCGTTTATTTTTTTTTTTCTTTCTTTTTTTCTGTTTCTCGCTAACCAAGTGGATCTCATTGAGGCTCGTTCCGCCGTGTCGAGAGCCGCTTTTCCCAGAATTTGTTCTTTTTCTCCGCTCGACGATCGTCGCCGCCGCTGCCTACGCGAGTGACATGAGATGACGCTCGAGTCACGGGTGTCCCCCTCTCCCCGGTTTTTCTCGGCGACGTGATTATCACCGTGCTCGATCGTCCGTCGTTCGAAGTGGGAGGGAAAGAAAAAGGTTTCTAGGACGAATCGCGAGGTTTACCGAGAAATCGAGTGGCGGCACGCACGTTCGCGCGCTCCCACGACCTTGCTGCATTTTCGCGCGGCGAGGGTTTCGCAGAAAACCGGTTAATTCGTTTCGATCGATTCATCTTCCCAGTAACGTTACGGTAGCCGATTATACTGTTGTCGTTCATCGTTGAACATCCGCTGTAACTTAACGACGACTATAGTCGACCATAATTATCGTCCATTGCACGTTAATAATTATATATCAATCCTATTCTTTTTAAGCTAAGCTTATTTATCTTCCAATTGTTATTTATTTAATTAGTTATTTCTCTGGATTAACCATCTTTTTGGTATTTAAATTGTTATTTCCTCTTGGTATTTAATTTCAGTAGCTTTTCTCAGTTCCTGGGCAAATTTTATTCAACAAGGTAACAGAAAGCAGAGTCTATACGCAGACAATTTTTAGAAGAAATTATAATACAAGGAATAGGAAAAGATTTATAACACAATAACGAATGCGAACGTTTATTCATACATTTTACAAAAACCACTCTGAAATTCTGGAAGATGTAATATGGTGAATCCGCAAAAATTACTCTAAAAAATTATAAATTGGTCATTTTGACTAACTTCGGTAGTTCGAGTGTTAATCCACCGCGTTAAAGTCTGACAATGTCGCGAGAAATCGGCGAAAGAGGGACGGAGGCCGCCGGAAGAAGCAGCCGCCGGTTGGATCGACGTTTCCACCCCGTGAATGAGATGCCAGGCCAACCGGAACTAAAATTCGTTCGTCGCGAGATCAATAACGAGTCGGGGGGAGCATTTAAACGACGACACTCCGGATAAACTGTTTCTCCGTGAAAAATTGAGCGGAGAGGTCGAAGAAGAAAAAAAAAAAAAAGAAAACTCCAGAGCGAATTCCGTACTCGGTATTCGTTTTCATTCGTAATAAACCGTGTTCGTCGATCCGTCCGGGGAACTTTTATCCGATCTGTTTTTTTCCCCCCCAGCGAGTCGACGACTCTGCTGCCAACCGATCGGTGCCTACACCCCCCCCCCCCCCTCCGCCCTCCCCCACCACTGGACGGGACCAATGTTTTTGCAACGTGGAAATTGGTTTCTCTCGTGGGCGAGCCAGCCAGTGACGGCGGTCCATTTCCATTTTTGCAGCTGGGATTCCGTGTCGACTGTTCTCCGTGGGAAATGGCCGCGTGTTTACACGCGTGTTTACACACGGGCAGGTACAGTCCGCGAAAAGGGCAAGGTAATTTCCCACGGTGTTTGCGTTCGTAACTCGATCGACTAAAATTTTTTTGATGGTCGTTAATGGCGACAAATGTCGTCGTTGGAAACAATT